CTCTTGCTCATCCATCGCTAAAGGTGCCAGCGCTGGGGGGACCGTGGGGTGGGCCACTCCTTCCCGCACTTTCCTCTGGCTTCTGGGAGGCAGTGGCTGCTCGGGCCCGGCTCTTCTGGGAGCGCCATGAATTATGCACGGGCCCTGGGCAGGCCCATCATAAATGAGCTTTAATAATTCATCCGCGAGGAGCCAGGGAAGGCGAGGGCCTCCTGGACCTGCCCCAGGGCAGCCTCTGCGGCCGCCGGCTTCCACGGCACCGCCCCCTGCCCTCCTGCTCCTGCTCCTGCCCTCACACAGCGGGGCAGGCTCGGAGGTCGCCCTCGTCCAGGCTGGAGAGCGGGAGCCTCCTCCTCCTCCGGGCTCAGCCTCAGGGAGGAGGCCTCCCTGGGCACCGGGTAACCCGTGGGCCCAGGAGGGCGTGCGGAGGTCAGCACTGCTCGGGGAGAGGCGCAGTTTCATGTGGGGGGCGAGGCGGACAGGCCAGGGACTGTCCTCACTGAGGAGATTCTCGGTGAAGAGAATACAGGGACACTCATGTGTCCCAGAGAGATGCAGGTGGCCCAGGCCGGGCTGGGGCTGGGGCCGGGAGCTGGTGGGCAGTGGGCACAGTGTGAAGGCAGGTTCCTGGCCACCTGAGGCTTTGGCCTGAACAGAGGAAGCTGCCATCAGCTGGGGGCGGGGAGGGAAGGGGGCAAATGAGGATCCAGAGGGAGGTCAGGGTCTCAATTTGGGGCACGTTCCCTTTGAGAGGCCCGTTAGCTATCCCGGTGGCCACCCCACCTGCCCCACCCAGTGCTGTCCTGCCGTGTGCCCCTTCCCCTTCATACACCCTGTCCCCTTCACCTGCCGTTCCACCCTCAAGGGGGGGGGGCGCATAGACTGCTCCTAAGCCCCAGTGGAAAGGGGTTTATCCAGGCAGCCTGCCTGGCAGAGGCAGCCTACAGCAGGGCTTCGATGGCAAAACACGCCTCCTTGAGAGAGGTGAGAAGGCCTGCAGCGGCCGAGGTTGGGGGTCCCAAGGCCCTCGCCCCGACCAGGCCCTGGGCCTCCCCTGCCCGCCCCCCCTTCCTCCCCCTCATCCCTTCTGCGGGTCCAGCCGCCCACGCCTCCCCGTGCCCTCTGAGGGTGAACCTGCCGTGTCACCTGTCTCCGGTTTTTTGATTTGTTTAATTATAGATGAGTTTTCTGCATAATTTATTCCAAAAGCCTGGATTATACTGTACAATTAAATCACATTCTGATCAACAACTTCACATATAAAATTAACAACTGGCAGCAGTTTAATCTATGCTGCTGCATCTGCACGCAGGCTCCCCGTCCCCTGTCCCCCTCCCCTCTGGGTGGGGCCTGTGCAGCTGGCCTCAGAGCTGCAGGCCCCTCACTGGGTGTTCTGTCCGTGGCCAGGGGCCTCCCCAGCCTCCCAGCTGGGTCCCCATGGTTCTGCCTGCAAAGGGGGGCCTCACCCCACACCTGGCCTGAGGGCGACACCCCCTCTTCCCTCACACCTTGGTTCTGACCTTGCCCTGCAGACTAAGGCCTGGGCTCCCGCCGCCCCTGGGTCAGCTTCTCCCTGCTGGGCTGCCCTCGCCTGCCCACATCCTGGGCCACAGGAACCTTCGCCCTGTGCCCACTCCTGGCCCCTCGCAGCGAGGGAACAGGGGATTGAGGGGAACCGCTGGGGACTCCTTCCCACTGCACTCTCCCTCCCCATCTCCTCCCCGCAAGTGCAGACATTCCTGGGAGATTCCTGAGTGCCGGGGGTGGGGTAGAGGGGGCTGCCCAGTAACAACACTGCCCCTCACGGTGGCCACGCGGACTTGCCGTCCTTCAGCTGGTCATCAGTCCCTCTGCTCACTGACAGCAAAGCCAGGGTCCGAGGGGCAGAACCCTCCAAGGTCACGCGGCTGGCAGAGGTGGCCCATCGTCCTGATGGCGCCCGGACCACAGGTCTGGCTTCTCTCAGTATCTGGCCCGGCACCCGTCCTTGTCACTGGCCCCAGGGCAGTGCCCGGACCCTCCTGGGTTCAGGCCCGTGGGTGGACATGGTGGTGCTGGGCTCTGCCCAGCCTCCCGTGCCCACAGCAGTCCCCACGCCGTGCCGGCTGCAGCCCGGGCTGCACGTGCGCCTCCCCTGCGCTCCTCACGGTCGTGCTAATTTGGCGCTTAGAGACACTTGCAGATAAGCAGTGTCATCTCAACGAGGAGCCTGGAAAATCACGGATGTGAGGAGCCAGCAGGTGGGGCTGCCACTGGGAGGGTGGCCCGTGGGCCACAGGCTGACCAGGGGGCCTTGGTGGAGCCAGGCACCTGGGCCCAGGCTGGTAGAAGCCCCGGCAGGATTTGGTCCGTTTGCCTTTGGCCCAGTGGGGCTATGGATCCTTCCAGAACCCTCCCGCCTTCTGCTGGGCTGAGGACGACGATGCCTGGCCAGGATCAGGCTCAGTTTGGTGGGAGGTGTCTCCAACTGTGGGGCTCGGACTGGGACGCCAGCCAAACCCTGGGACCCACACAGTCACGTCTCTGTGAAGATGAAACGAATGGCCCAGCTGGTGTGGCTTAGCGTTGAGCATTGACCCAGGGGCCAAGAGGTCACCGGTTCGATTCCCGATCAGGGTACCCCGGGGCTCTATCCCTGGTAGGGGTGCATGCAGGAGGCAGCCAATCAATGATGTTCCTCTCTCATCGATGTTTCTCTCTCTCTTTCTCTCTCTCTAAAAATCAATATAAAACATTTTTTTAAAAAAGATGAAATGAATGATCTATCACGGTCTTTTAAACTCCTAGACACACAGCGCTTTCCTGGTTGGGTTTGGTGTAGGTGAATCATCAGATAACTTGCGTGCGGTGCACGGAGGTGCTGGGCAGTGCAGCCGGGGCCTAGGGTCTGCCCATCAGGCCCCGCCTGCCAGACCGGGGCTGGAGCTGCCCCGAGAGTCCAGGAGGGGGGTGTCCTGGGTGGGCCAGTCCCTGCAGCCCACAGCAGAGTGCAGAGCTGCTCAGCCTGGGGGTGGGAGTGGGGAGGCTGTGCACGTGTGTGTGTGCACTCGTGTGTGTATGTGTGTGTGCATATGTGTGTTGGGGGCAGGAAGGGAGAGCGGAAGAGAGGGAGGGAGGTAGGGAGAGTGAGTGTGTGTTTTGGGTAAGAAATGGACTTTATCCTGAGATTTGGCTCTTCTGAAAAACATTTTTAGGGTTGAAAGAGTCTGTCTTGATGAAATGATGGTGATTATAACAATAATAATAATAATGTGTTGTCTGAACAAAATAAAACTTGATACCCATGCCCGGTCTTCCAGTTAATTTTCTTTTATCTGTGGGATCCTGGAACCGAAGACCTACAGATGCACTAGGAAGAGTCAGCGGCCTGGGGATGGACCAGGGCTGTGCTCTCCGGGGGAGGGGGTGGGGACCGTGATTGGCTGCCTTTGCCGATATATAAAATTCTCAAGCTCCCAAGGTGATGCCCCGAAGGCATAGTTGGGCAGAGGTGCACACCCTGGGTGGCGTTGTGTGTCCACCACTTCCTGGGTGGGTGACCTTGGGCAGGTCACTCGCCGTCTCTGTGCCTCAGTTTCCCCGTCTGTACATTCGGGAAGATGGTGTTTGCTTCTTCCTGAGGATTGAAGCAAGGAAGCCGGCGACATGCTGGCGCCACAGCTTGTACATCCGAAGGGCTGCCCTCGTACATAATGGTCCCAGGAGGGTTATGATGGGCATTCTGTCCCCTCGACCAGTGAATGGCTGAGGTCAGGGTCAGGGTCAGGGCCAGGGCAGAGCTGATGGTTCCCTTTGGCGATCAGCTCCTTGACCTCCCCGTTCCCGTGCACCTGCCTCGCTGGACACAGGTCATCTCAACACGAGGCCCGCCAGGCTCTGACTCGGGAACACCAAACAGCCACCTGCCACCCTGTCTGCCCACAGCCGGGGCCACGCCAACGCCATCAGTGCCTGGTGGGCAGGAGCCAGGGCCAAGCCGGCCCGCATTCTCCACCGGGCTTTGCCCTGTCGGCGGCCGATGCCCGATCACCCTTCGTGCCTGGCCCGCAGCCTACCCTCTGCCCGGGTGCGGGGTTCGCTTCCCCTGCGGTGGGGCATGGAGGTGGGCAACACGCTGCGGCTCAGCCGGCAACAAACCGAAGCTAATACCTCTTTCTTTTGATGTTGATTTTTTTTTTTCATCTCGGTCCTGACATTCAGCTTGGCAAATTGCAATTAGTGATCCGCCCGCCTCCTGCTCTGAGTTCCCATGCCAACGGACCCGGGTACACACAATGGCACAGCCCCAGCCCCCAGCCACAGGCCTGAGGAGGGATGTGGGGCAGAGGCGAGCTCTTCTGACCCCCAGAGCGGGAAGGGTCCTGGCACCACATGGCACTGGGGGAGGCAGGGAGGACGCAGGCCCCTGGCAGCTGCGGGGGCAGGTGCCGTCTCCCACGTCCTCTGGCTCCTGGGCTGGCCCTCCAGAGGCGGAGGGCTGGCACCCCCTCCCTTGCCCTCCGGGGTGTGCTTGGCCCATGGCGCGTGTGCCTTTGGCAGTCCTGGGAGCCCCCGCTGGGAGCCTCGTTCTGCCTGTGGGACTGGGAAGTTGAGATGCCTTTTCAGATGCATCCGGACAAGGGGTCCTGGTCGCCCGCGGAGGCGCCTGGGGCCGGGGGGACCATGGCTTGGCAGCCCCTTTGCTCACCGCTCGGCACTGCCTGAGCGGGGTCCCAGGTTAGAACCCGAGCCAGGCCTCTCCCCAGATACCGCCCTGTTCGTGGGTTTGGGCTGAGAATACAGGGCCCCGGACCGTCTGTCCATCCTGTCCATTCCAAGGCTCCTTGGGCCGCACCCTTGGCGTGTCCTCATGTGTCCTTCTCACCTCTGAGGTGGCACCTGCTCAGGCTGGCGGCTCAGGTGTGGGACTTGGGGGGCTTGCCGTGTCCCCAGAAAGGGGCAGATGGTCTGAACTGGCCCTGTGAGTGTGTGTGTGTGTGTGGGGGGGTGTCCTAGGGGACATGCGGCCAGGGGCCGCCGATCAGCAAGCTTACTGGGCGCTGGAAAGGCGAGAGCCGCCGGGCTGGGAGATCTGTGTCCACTGCTCCGAAGAGGCCCAATGACTTGGTGGTGGCCAGTCCCTCATGTCCCTCCCTCCCCCAGACCCCACCAGCCCTGGGGACACGAGGCTCCGAGCCCCGCAGGCACCCCCGGCTCCTCCCGCCCTCCTCCCCGGTGTCCTGTCCCCCTGCTCGGGCAGCAGCAGCAGCCGGGCCGCTCTTCACCGTGCAGTCTCCCTGCAGGCTCCTGAGCTGCTGGGCTCCCTCAGGGCATCTAAGGGGCAGCCCGCCCTCCTGCCGGCTGCCTGACAGGGCCTGGGCCTCCGGGGCTGCGTTTCAAAGGAATCCGGGGGCTCTCTGGTTTTTGAAGGAGTGGCTGCTGCTGGGCACCCCCGGGTGCCGGGCTGGGTGGTTCCAGGCACCAGGCGGCCCCCCTGACCCTCTCTCCTCTCTGCACGCAGGGTGCAGCACTGGGCGCGGCGCCTGGAGCAGGAGATCGACGGCGTGATGCGCATCTTTGGGGGCGCCCAGCAGCTCCGGGAGGTAAGCCTGCCGCTGGCTCCCCCTTCTTGGACCCTCTTCCACATGGGAATGGGGGGGGACTCCCGAGATGAGGAGCGGGACGGTTTGGCGGGCCTTGTTGAGGACCCGGGTGGTGAAACATGCATGGCTGACCCTCGAGGGCAGGTGGGGGCGTCACTAGAAAAACAGCGACTCCTTCCGGTCCCGGCCTGCCCTTCGCGTGGTCGCTGTGCACAGTGGCCCCCGTCGGCCCTGTGCCAGGCTTTGCAGGTGGTCAGGTGGGTGCGGCCGTCCGTGGTGAGTGGGGTGGCCGGTGCCGCCCGCCCAAGGCGCTGCTGGGCAGGCTGAGTTGAGAGCTCGGTGAGATGAGGATCAGGGGGCGGGAGGGTGATTGATTGAACCGGGCGACCACATCCATCCTGGAGATTATGTTAATGTTTGCAGTGGGGATGTGAAGAGCCGGCCATCCGTCACCCCCAGAAGGCGGCAAATGTGTCGCTGTCAGTCTCCTGAGCCATCGCTTTTTATGGGAAAACGCAGAGGCCCCGGGAGCCGAGCTCCAGGCGGGGCCGGGGCTGGGCCGGGAGGTGCGAGCAGGGCATTGACCGGCATCTCCTGCCGGTGGTCCCCCCGCGGACAGCGGTGTCAAGGGAGCTACTCGGAGTCCAGGTCCGGCTCGGTGAGGAGGTTCTCCCCTGTGTCCTGTCGTCCCTCTCGGGGCCAAGGTCAGAAGGTGGGACCTCCGTGGGGCAGTCGTCCCCGCACTGAGCGCATAGCAGGGGCCGGGAAACGAGGGGGCAGACGCGGGCCGTGGACGGAGGACCCCTGTACAGGATGGTGCTCATCGGGGTGTCTAACGAGATGCTCACCTGGGCGGGGAGGGGCTCCAGTCTGGAGGTCGGAGCCACCGTTTGCTGGCTGTCCTCCCCCCGGGGCCCAGCCTCCCTGAACCCCCGTCCCCGGTTGCAGTAACCCCAGCCCACTCTCCGCGAACTCCCAGTGACTCAGCCGCGGGGAGGCCGCCGAGCTCTCCGAGGTGCAGGAGGAGCTGCTCCGGGCGGAAGCCGGTCTGTGCTCGGGAGCAGCACGGCCCCCGGGG